ATCCTAAAGAAAGGATTTTTATGAAAAGATGTCTGCGATAGGAGTGTCCTTGTCCCTGAAGCTGTGCTTTGGGAGCCTGGGAGCACAGCCTGGCAGCCCACAGGGACCCAGGCAGGGCTGCACTGCAAGCTGCCAGGAAAAACAGGGATCTGCAGCATCCCATGGGAGCTGCATCCCTGCCCCAGAGCACAGAGGGACTCACTGCAGGGCTGTGAGCAGCCCCTGGGTATTCCATGTTGAGCTGTCAGCAATCCCCCAGGTGTCAAACCCTCCTGTGGGGCAGCCTCACGTGTTTCTGACAGACCAGTGCAGCCCCAGAACAGAAACTGAGGTTCCAAGCATCAACACACACAAAAAAAAAAAAGTTCACAGCTCTGATAAATGCCACTGCAGGCACGCAAATCCAAATAGATTATAATTACTTATTTTGTTAAGTTTAGTGTTGTGAAATCAGGAACAGTTAAGAGTACAGGTGATTTCCAAAGATAGGTCTACCAGTAGCCCACATGTTTTTTCTTAAGTCCTTCTTTAAATATTAGCAGCATCTGTTTCCAAAATGGTAATACCTACACTAAAATATTAATTATCTGCATAGACTTAAGCCACATACTCACTAATTCATCTGCTAGAACAATTACACATCTAATACCTTGATTAGTCCAGTGAAATGAGTTCCAAGTTAAAGACTGAAATTCTTGATCTTTTCTGAAATATACAAAGCCAAAATGGAATGTCCTATTAATATTCAAAGGCAGCTACTAGTAAAAGTCAGATAGTTCAAAGTTAAGTGGAATGATCTGCTGTCCCTAAGCACTGATCCACATATTCCCAGCAACATCTAAGAACCTATCTGTTCTAACCTCCACTGAGCAGTATTGTTGCTAATTGAACATGGAGAGTGGGTTTGTTCCATCAGATGTGTTCCTTTCTTCTAAGAACACCCTATGGAATATCAAATGTACTAAATATAGCTGTCAACATTAAAAGCCTGCAACTGGAAAGTGCTATTAAAGAGCTAAGTGTACTTCACTTGGCATTATAAAGCCAAAGCCCTCTTTAAAGATACATCATGTTATTAGAGACTATTCACATTAATGCAAAAATCATCATTCTTAATATATTTTACAAGGCACGTCTAGGCCACTTCCAGGCTCAAGAGTTGCTCAATTTCTCCCACATTTACTGGTAATTACATGGGTGAATCAATAGTGTTTCAAGGAGGACAAAGAGGGAGATGTAGCAGATCCATTCACTGTGTCCAGGTAAAGCTCCAAAAGCAGAAATGATACAATATCTGTAAATGATACAACTTCTTACCCTACTGCATTTACCACTGCAGTGTCAAGGTGCTATACATTTTCAAATTCTTACAGGTTTTTTGGGAAACACTGAGAAATTCCTGGGAAAGCTTCTGCTAACTATGAGAGGGTATTTGCCTTCCTCAGTGTAAATATACAGAATTCATGGTGGCAAGGAAACAATGCAGAAATGGAAGCACAAGAGAATCTAGAAATAAGCCCAAGGAACATTTTGCTAAAATCACAAACAAAATATGTATATTTTATATATATAGCAAAATTACTTTCAGAGGATCCTTTGCTTCTACTCCATCCTAATTAACAGCACCCCAGAGGAACTGTTTGAGAGCAAAAATCCAAGTGCAGCTGGTACTCTGGTCTCTGTCAGAGAAGGCTCAGAAACGTGGTGGAGGCTTTATTCATTTAAAAATATTGTAGTTAAGCACCCTAATAAATGTAATAACATAGAATAGTTCAGGTAAGTGACAGTCATTTAGCACAAGCCCTACTGCACACCCCTCTGTTGGTCCTAAAACATGCAAGGCTCATTTCAAAGGCACGATTTCAAGCAACATGTTGTTGTTAAGTGTGGCAAACAACTTGTGCGTCTCCTTTCCATGTCCCTTCACTGCCCCTTCCCTTCCAGTTGGTGGGAATTCATAGAATTTCAACCATTTTATTTCTACCCTACACAATGCATTGAGACCACTTATTCTAAAAGTGACTCTGATTAAACACAAATTTCCTTCCAGACAATCCCACCCAGAACTTTGTCATGAACAGCAGGTAGTCTTCTCTTAAATATTAAACACAGCTACTCAAATTAGAGAGTAGAATTAGCACCAGTATAAAACAACGGTCTATAAATTTAAATACAGGCTGCATAATCCTGAGGAGTCTCAATTCCAACAAGCCAGATAGATAAATAAATTACTAGATCACTTATTACAATTCAGTAACAAATGCCTCTCAGAAAATAATATTTTCCTTTCTATACAAATTTGGTCAGTTTAAAATACCATGAGCACCACAGAATACTCATGTCCTTCCTAGAGTTCAGAATATTGTTTGGTAGAGCACTAATAAAAAAAATCAACTAATTCTGGCCTTTACCATAGTAACAGAAACGTTCATGTTAATAATGTCAGCATGGTCTAAAAGTAAAAACACATCCATAGCAAAACACAGGAAACCGATGGAAGGAAAACTAATTTTTTTTTTCTCTAGATAAAGCCTGTGTAATATCCATGCCTGAAGTTAAACACCAATATTGTTCTTTCAACCAAGACTGATCCAAGAAAATACAAATAGTAATAATAATAATGAATTGATTTGCAGGAATGAACAAGCACTACAAAAGCATAAACTACCAGCCAGAGAAGATTTCTGCATTGTTTACTCCGCAGAGCACACATTATCACAGCCAAACCCCATAGGCCTTCTTTTTGTCAAAGTTCCCACCAAGTTCAGAAGCCATTTTTCCTACTTTTTCCCCCTGCAGGAAAGATAAATGCAATCTTTTTGTGACACACAGCAGCACCCTCTCATGTAGCTCATCCTCTCTTCATTATTGCAGGCTACAGGAGAGCGGCGACTTTTGTGTGCCTGGGATTTTCCCATTGCAAGCGCTCGCTGAGGAACAGTCAAACTCTGATTAGACATTACAAAACCTTCTCAGAAGGCTTTCTGAACCACAGCCAGCAGGATTCCCTGCAGCATTAAGGCCAGTCTTGCTCCCACTACAGTCTGTGGGACTTTTGCCAAGGATGTAAGTGGCATTATGACTGGTCTCCAGCAGCAGATATTACCCATCACTCTCAAGACTTGATTAAAGACCTACCCACCTGCAAATATCTAATAAAGAGCTTAATTGCATAATTAATTACAAGGGCTTTTAATCCACAATAGACAACACCATAGGTTTTAGGTAGCCTACATAAAGCAAACTATTCATTAGATCAGTATTTGCTTGATACTGGCTTGCAGGAAGATTGCAGAAGGATTCATTCAAAGGATACACATTTTCAAGAGCCAGAGAACACAACAGGAAAAAATAAAATAAAGTGAAATCAAAAGAATACCACTGCAGCCTGGACCTACAGGCAGAAATAATTTCCTACTCTGTACACAGCCTTCCAGCAAAGGTTTTTCTAACAATATATGCACGATGGGCAGGGGTTTTGAATAGCAAGTGCAGTGCTGCTACTAGACTTTTTTTTTTTTTCCAAGGCACCAGGCAGAGATGTAGCAGTGTACACAAGTGGGGTGTAAAGTCAATGGGATTACATTTTCCTAATTATTTTCTGCTTGAGGTTTACATCACATACACAAAACGAGATCAGCCGGGACTTGCCTCTCTAACAAATCACTCAGACTTAAACATTGCTCAGATAAACAAAAGGGGAGGGGTGGGGGAGGCAAGGCTGAGAAAAGGCAGAGGAGTGCTTCTTCAGCCACAGTTGCAAGGAACAAAAACCTGGAGGGGGAAAAAAGCTGTTGGACCGCCACCAAATCTCCCCCCACTAGAGACAAGAGCCCATCTGCTGAGCTCTGCAACTTAGCTTTAACTACCATTCAGCTCGAGTCTCTGCAGAGATCAATCTGCAGAGCTGGCAGATGGACCCCTGCTTCCCTGAGTCGCTGTGTTATTTGTTTAATAAATTTAATTAATATCCATACTGCACTGGATTGCTCCCAGAAAGGGGGCTGCAGCTCTCGCTTTCCCCGATAGCAACATGATGAGTGATTTCCCAGAAAAGACCAGATAACAGTACCCCCAGGCCACTGAAAAATTAAAAGTGCCATGTGCTTGCATTACTTCTCATGTATTAATTTTTTGCACTGCACTAATTTGTTCTTGAAGCCTTTTTTTAACTTCATAAAACTATGGGGTTTTTGAGGGAGTCATAATTGATTTTGGTTTGGATCAGTTACAAAATTAATTGGAAAGGAAAAAAAAGCATCAAATCTAATTGGATTTCCAAAAATTTTATCCATTTGCAAGAAAGAAACAAATTGTTAATGAGGGTGTCTCCTCAGGCAATATATATTGTCACAGTTTTTGCCAACAAGTTATAGGCAGTCAGGGTCATGTTGGACATGCTTTGGAGCACACTTATTTTAACCAATAAAGACATATTCAGCCCACATAAAATGATTTTTAAAAGTATGAAGGATGAAAGAAAATAAAACTACTAACAAATTTTTACAGCAAAAAGCATGACAAAACACATGCTACGGTATTCCAGCAGCAAGAGGAAGCATAAAACATGCACAAATTATGAGCTCCTGTATGAGGCTGGTTTGGGATTGTGAGTGGGGCAGGTTAAGCAGCAATAGGACACAGACCCAAAGAAGCATTTAGCATCTTTAGTTAACCACTGCTCTCTGGCAGAACTCTCTTCCTGGTAGTCTATCCCTGCATTTTAACTTTTTACACCCCTTGGAAAAGCCTTATTTCTTCAAATTATGAGGTTCTGTATGAGGCTGGTTTGGGATTGCGAGTGGAGCAGGTTGAGCAGCAATAGGACACAGTTCTGCACACAGACCCAAAGAGACATTTAGCATCTTTGGTTAACCACTGCTGTCTGGCAGAGCTCTCTTCCTGGTAGTCTATCCCTGCATTTTAACCTTTAATACCACTGGAAAAGTTCACCATTTTTATAGTGAATGGCAGTGAATATAGAGAATATCTCACCTTACCTTCAGAAAGCCACACAGCCACCGCAGCAGTGACCATGGGTGTTCTGTGACTTCCCAAGCCAGCAGTGAGAAACGTCAGGGAAAGAGAGCTGGCTCACCTCAGTGCTGTCCAGAATGCAATTACCTTCCACCTGCAGAGTGAAACCCACTTGTTGGGAGAGGATCCAGGAAGGCAGCCCTGCATGGGAGGGGGAACAAGTGAAAATCCCCGCTAAACCCAGCTGAAGACCCCTCTGTGAGCTCTGGAGGTGCAGCTGCGGCTCCCAGAGAAGGGGAGGCAGGGCCACCCACAGGACACAGAGCTTGGCAGTGTCCCCATCCCAAAAACAAAACAAGAGGTGTTAGGGAATTAGAACTGCTCCAAGGATAAGTTTGGGGAATTCTTCTCCTTACAGGCCTCACTGAGAGTTTCAGAGAGGTGTTTAACAGAAAAATAACTTGTACAGCTCAAAAAAGGTTGGCACACGTATCCATAGATTTTTTTTTTTTTTTTTTTT